GAATATTTATACTTTTTGCCTGGAAAATTGAGGAGTTCCAGATTTTTCTCCATTGATCTGGAGAAAGTGATATAGTACAATCTTTATTCCAATATGTGGTGTAGGAAGGTAGAGTATCATCTGATGCTGATAACAAAGTTTTATAAAGTAATGAGATATATCTTTTATAGCTGGAGTGAGGATTTTTAATCAGTGTTTCAAATGCAGTAAGATTCGTTCTCAATTTTCCCCACAAAGCTTTGCTTTCTAGACAATGTCTGATTTGTAAATATTGGTACCAGGGTATTACTTGTTAGCCTTTTTTCTCTAAGGAATTTTTAGGTAGAATAAGACCATCAAGTGCAATGTCAATTAGTCTATTTAATTTCATATGCTTCCAAATAGCAGAGGAGTTATCTGAATTAGCAGGGGGAAACCAGGATTGTCCTGTAAAGGGGGATAGTGGAGACAGTTTAAGGGCTAGTTTATTGCAGTGATGTTCCCAGACCTTAAGGGTACAGAGTAAAGATGGATTATCCTTCAAGGGTTTTGGTATTTCTTTTTCTATGTTCCAGATCAATTCTTGTAATATTTTAGTATCCAAAAAGGCTTGTTCAATAAAGGTCCAGTCTGGTGCTGTTTCTGGATGTATCATTTTTATTAAGTTAGTGAGGTGAGCCACATCATGATACAGCAACAGATCAGGGAATCCTATGCCTCCTTCTTTTGCATGTTTATGTAGAGTGAAAAAACCTGATTCTACATTTCTTGGAATCCTACAAAAATTGTAGGAGACTGTTTTGCCAGGTTTTAATATCAGCTAAGCAAATGATTATTGGTAGTGTACGAAAAAGAAAAAAATAATTTTGGCAGTATGAAAGATTTAAGTAAGTCACTGCGTTCTGTCCATAAAAAGAATAACTTTTGTGTTGGAAGAGATTATTTAACTGTAAAGGGATATAGACCCCCAAATGCCTCCAAGAAGTTGTAACCCATTTATAAGTGTATAATTGTTTAATGGAGGTTGTGTGTTCATTTGAGATATAACTAGGGTAGATTTCTGTTTTCCTTTGATTAACATGGAGTTCTGATATTGTGCCAAAACTGAGTAATTCTTCATTTACAACCTTTAGGAAGTCATGGATCTGTGAGGTATATGACTGTATTGTCAGCTAATAGGCTTACCTTATAAATTTCATTATGTATGTTAACCCCTTTAATCTGTGGGTTGTTGCGAATACCCATAGCCAAAGGTTCTATTCCATCACAAATAAGAGAGGCAAAAGGGGGCACCCCTGGCGTGTGCCTCTTGTGGGAGTAAATGAATCAGAGATAAGACCATTAATTCGGATTTGAGTCTTAGGCGATCTATATAGTGCATCTATTGACCTAAGGAATTTCTCACCAAAACCTATACACTTTAACAGGCTTTGTAAATGTGTTTTTTTCTAGTGTATCGAAGGCTTTCTCGATATCTAGTGATAAAATTATAGAGGGAATTTGTTTTTGTTGGCAATAATGATGTTTAAGGTTTTGCAGATATTGTCTGCTATATTGCATGTAGGCATAACACCCTGTTTGGTTTTTATGAATATACTGAGTTATAAAATATCCTATCTGGTTGGCAAGGATAGCTGAGAAGATTTTTTAGTCTTGATTACTTAAAGTGATTGGCTGATAAGATGAATGTGGCATATTGATGAAATCTTTTGTTGTGTCATTCAATTACATATTGGAACATTCCATTTTTGGTCCTATATTAGTAATTCTTTATTGCCTTACATGTGCTACAGGGACTTTGTTGCTTGGTGTATTTTGTACTTTGTACTATTTGACCTCTGAAGAAGGCTCTTGTGAGCTAAAACGTGTCAAGTCATACATTGTTCTTTTTTGTGCAATTGTCACTTTTAATATTCATTGAGGCTTTATTTGGGCCCCTATAAGGTTTTTTATATGTCTTTGTAATAAATACTCTTTGTCTATACTGACTTATGTTTTTAACTTTTGGCTCTCTCCCTTCACCCCATCTCTCTCTCATCCAAATGCAATTACAGATAGCCCATCATATGCCTCCACTGTTCTCTGTTCCAAAAGAAATTTTCCTTGTGGAGGTTGCTGTGATCTTCCCTGGGAAAAGGGGAGCCTGAAACACAATACTTCACCTAGAAGGTGCCAACTCCACCCTTAGATCCATCCTACAGGCCAGGAGTATCATTCACCTGCACCTGTGATATGGGCTATCAAGGGACAGCAATTCCTGTTTGCCATTTACATTGGCTAAATTGGACATTTCAAAATGGAAATGCCTAGAAACCAGTCGGGAAGCCAACTTATCTAGACATTCAGTGGCCCTAAACTGGAAGAACTTCCTGTATAGAAATATTGATTTCTATAGGCTTCATGTCTCCCCTGGAATGCCTATTGCTGAGACCCTGCTATGTTGTTTCCTGTTGCAAGCCAGATGGCTGACCATTTGGTCAGAGAAGCTCCATTGCCTGCCATATAACCACACATTCTCCACACCTCTAAGTGGAAGTCCTAGACTTCAAGGAGCCTGCTCTAAGGTTACAGGGCTCAAGGCACGTACAGTTTGGGGGACTGGTTGGAGTTTGGAGGGGCACATGACCCGGGTGTGTCCTTCAGAGGCTCTGACCATTCAGAAGTTGTTCCCATGGTAACTCTACAATTGGGCACTCCCAGGTCTACTCCAATTGGCCCCTGGCCAGGGCTGATTGGACAACTGGAATTGCCCTATATCTGTTTATTCCCAATGAGAGGAATTCTCTCTCTCTCTCTCTCTTCTGTTCCTGTGATCTCTACTATTGTGTCTGTCCATCTGAGATGCTATGCTACCATGTGGCTCCTAACAGAGACAAAGGATTGCTTTGGAGCTGAGCTCATGGCTACATGCTTGCATAAAGATGGGACCTAATGGACTTTTTCACAATGGACAATCTTGGACTATGGATTCCTGGTCCATCTATGATTGCATAGAATATAGTCTGATTATGGTGTAATTCATTTGGAGAGGTCTATATGTATAAGCAATGTTTGTGCTGTTTGAACCAGGTATTCATGATTCAAAAGTGGTTTTCTTGGGAAAATTTTACCAAACAATTGCCTGTATTGTTCCTTTCTCCAACTCCAAATCTACCCGTGATGCCTGTCTCAGGTCTTTTCTGCACTTGGATCTCATCCCTGGTTTTTATCAGAGTTCAACTCGTGACACAAAAACCTTGCATATCCCCGGTTAATACAGCATCCATTTATCCCGGGACACGTGTGGGGCAAAAATGGGGTGACCACAATGTAACGTGGAAACAAAAAAATACCCCGAGATAATTACAGGGGTGAACTCGAGTGTAGTGTAGAATGTAAAAATACCCTGAGATAATCACAGGGGTGAACTCATGTGTAGTGTAGAATGTAAGTTCAGGGACAGGGTTGAACCGATTTAAGGTCTAGCGTGGAAAGGAACTCAGCTTGGGTGCCAACGTTTGCATTGAAATCTCTCAATACGTAAACAATGTATTTTTTGTGCACTGTTTTCAGAGTATCTTGGACGGTGGCATAGTAACCCTCTATGTCAAGTACCGTTGCGTCAGTTGTTGGGGCAAAGACTTGGACAACTGTGATGTTAGTGTAAAATCCCTTCACTTTTCTTCCTGGAAGGGCAGACCAATAGAAGGGAGTGGAGCTGAAACTCTGAACACACATATTTGCTCTCTCTTTTGCAGCCTGGTTGACTTAGGCTGTTCTTTATCAGAAAAGGCAGCAAAGACCAGAGAAGCTTTTTAAAGGGAGGAAAGAGAGGCCTCTCCCTCCGGAACCAAGCCTCTGTCCACCCTGGGAGTTCATACCCTCTGCCGATTCTTCCAACCCTCCAAAATCAGGAATGGTAAGCCAGGCTCTCTTTGCTATTTATCCTCCTCTCGGCCTCTCTTGTATCCCAGCAACTCTGCTTGGTAATCAGAACTGACATTGTTTCAAATACTATGTGTTTTTTAATGTGGGTGCAGAGCAGATTTCACCAGGCGCTGCAAGGAGAAAGAAATCTGCAGTGTCCCTGTCTTTTCTTCCTTTGAAACCATACATCCAGCTGCAGTTCTGCCCTGTAGGAAAATTCACAGCTGGTCTGTCACTGTCTGCTGTATCCAAGAGTCAGTTTTAACGAAGCAGTGTGATTTTAGAGCATTTCTTACTGTCACTGGTTCCTGACAATCAACATCGTTGAAACAGATGCTCTTTTAAAATTCAAAGGGCTTTGTGCCTTTGGCATGCACAGCTAGAACAGCAGGCACATTTGCTTGTTTTAAAATGTTTTCCAAAGTATATGTAACAGGAAGAAGCAGGCGAATCCTTTGTCTTCCCTTCATATAGATCAGGGGTCCCCAACGTGGTATCCTGGAGCCCATCAAGTGTTTTTAGAAAGTGGATGGAACCAGGTGGGGCTTTTGCCCAGCAAGACTTCTGATTGGCTATTGGAGGTTTGATCTGCTGTGCAGATATTTTTTTTTTTTAAAAAAATGTTTGGGCAGCAGCTGCCACCACAGCACAAGAATCTTCCCTGGGTGGCTGAAGGTAAGCTGTGGCAGCCATTTTGTGACTGGCTCTGCCTCCTGAGGCAGCTTTTTTCTGGCAGCCATTTTTGCAGGTGTACCCTTTTGCTCTTAATTTGTCTTTCAACCTGCTACAATATACCAATAGATCACTTACTGATTTGTCTTTCTAACAGGCTTCCTCCTAGTAATATTTTATTTTGGTTAAGCTGCTTTGGATGCAAGTTTCTTTTGGAAAAATACGGTAAAAATACTTTTTCTGAATAAAAATGGTTAAGATGTAATGCATTTGATAAAGGCTTGTTTTTCTACCCAGGGAGCCTTATGTAAATTGACCCTCCACACAGCCACAGTTGAATCCAGATTGTCAGAGTAAAATCTGATGGGAACCTTATACGGAGGAGTTAACAATCATAATATTTCTATTTATTTTTCAGGTCAACTGAGTCTTCAAGAAGAGCCATGGGTGGGAGAAGTTCGACACCAGCAGTAAGCAGTGAAGCTGAAGAGAAGTCTGCCAAGGAAGAAGGAAACCTCTCAAATCTAACTGTGTCAGGAAAAACCACACTTGACATTGCCATCACAGGGATATCAGGTGCTGGCAAATCGTCCCTTGTCAAAACCTTGCGGGGTCTATCAGATTTTGGTGATGAGGCAGCCAGTACTGATGTGATAGAAGGAACAACAGAGCCAATGGGTTACCCGCACCCCACCTTTCCAGATGTCACAATATGGGACCTACCAGGAATTGGGACACCTAATTTTAAAGCCCAGGAATACCTAGAAAGGGTAAATTACAGCCAATATGATTTCTTCATAATTGTTGCTTCAAATCGCTTCACTGTCGATGACATCCAGCTGTCCCATGCAATTCAGAAAATGAAGAAGCGGTTCTACTATGTGAGGTCCAAAATTGACATCAGCATTAGGAATGAAAAACTGCGTCCAGACTTCACTGAGGAAGCAACCCTTCAAAAAGTCAGGAAGCATTGCCTGGATAATTTGGTGAAGGCTGGTATTTCTTCTCCGGAGATTTTCCTCGTCTCCAGTTGGTATCGGGAAAAGCACGACTTCCCCCTCCTGCAAAGTTCCTTAGAGAAGGAAATCAAGGCTCTGAGGAGACCTACCTTGAGACCAGCTGACAAGTATGTTGGGTTTAACAAATCCATGATTTGATTTTCTTTGTGTATGAACAAAAAAAGTGTTTAAAAAACAGAGATCTGGTTCAGGGGTGCCGGGGGGGGGGGGAACTACATGGATTTGAGTTAATAATTTTAGTGCCTTGACCACAACTGAAAAGCTACACAATACTTTAAAACATAGAGATGTATATTATGACAATCAAATCCCCTCCCCACAACAGACACCCTGTGAGGTGGGTGGGGCTGAGAGAACTCTTGACAGAAACTACTCTTTTTCAAGGACAGCTGTGCCAGAGCTTGCAACTGACCCAAGGTCACATCAGCAGGTGCAAGTGGAGGAGTGGGGAATCAAACCCATTTCTCCCAGATTAGAGTCCGCGCACTTAACCATTACACCAAACACCAAAGAAGAGACACACGGCGGCGGGATCACACAGATCGCCTGAGCCGCCGCGCAGTTCCTCCCTGGCACAATCAGATGCCGGGGGGAAGCCACTGAAGAAAGAGCGAGGGAGCCGAACTGTGCATGTGTGCGCTTGCGCAGTTCGGCCGGGAGCCTGGATTGCTACCGAAGACAAGCGTGCCGGTGATCCCATGGCTGCACTTGATGCGGCATAAGTCCTCCTCTGTAGGAGGTTCTTTTTTGCAGCGGGTTTTCCGGCTTTAGGGACGGATCGGGGACGGGTGCGCGCTGCTTCCCAGATGTTGCGGTGAAATCGTGCCTGTTTGCTGCGTCCCCGATCCGTCCCTCTCCCGGGCCAAAACCTTCTGTGTGACCGGGACCTTAGTACTTTTCTTTTCCCTCACCAGTGTTTAAAGCCCTTGAGAGATGCGATTTCTGATTGGTATCCAGGGCTCTTTTTGTAGAAAAAGCCCAGCAGGAACTCATTAGCATAATAGGCCACACCCAACAGCAGAGACTCATTAGCATATTAGGCCACACCTCCATGTTACCAGAAGTGTGCTCATCCAGCCACACACACCTTTTGCTTCTTATTCTGCTTACCTTGTTTGTTGTCAAAACCAGGGCCTTTTTTGTAGCAGGAACTCCTTTGCATGTTAGGCCACACCCCCCTAATGTAACCAATCCTTAAGAGTTTCTGCTGTTTGGTGTGGCCTATTATGCTAATGAGTTCCTGCTGGGCGTGCCCAACTCTGGAGCCAGCCGGAACTCCGTTCCTGTGCGTTCCTGCCCAAAAATAGCCCTGGTATGGCCATGGGTGGAGAGAACAGTCTTGACTGTCTTTCCCAGTGTGTGGCTCTAATCCGCCTAAGGCTATGTTTTAGGGTCAGAAAGAATTTACCACTACAGTTCCAGTCACAGAATAGCATCTCTTTTTCATGCAGAAAATTGATTAACAGATTTGCAGCTTTCTTCTGATACATTTCAGCATTATGCAGAACACATAAACAATTGCAGGATCTCGGTAGACCTACCAGAGAGGAAAGCTATTCTATTTTGAAGGGCACCTGGTAGTTGGGTTGGATTGTTCTCCCAATATGATTCCTGTTCTGGTGGCTTTTCAAATAACTCAGGGCTGCTGGTATTGCTAAATTTATTGCATTTTGTTACTGTTGACATCTGTCCTCCCGTGCTGCTTCTACATCTTGCAGTTGTCTGTTCTTGCATTCTCTTTCAAGTTTTAATTTTTTTATCAGTTAGCAGCCTCAAGTACTCACTTAATGGACAGGCAAGTGTAGGAACTTCATAAATAAATGACATATTTTTTGTTTCTTAGATCGACCAAGCCATCCAAAGGAAGTGGAATTCATTTCAGACTCCTCCAAAAAGTCTTAAATATTGACCTGGCAAAGCTGAGAGATGATCTGATGCACGGAAATCTTGAAGAGGTGACTAAGGAAATTAATCAAGAATTGGATGAATTACAAAATGCCAAGCTTGACATTGCCATCACAGGAGTCTCGGGTGCTGGCAAATCATCCCTTGTCAATGTCCTAATGGGCATGACTGATTTTGAAGAAGGTGCAGCTGAGGTTGGAATAATGCAAACAACTATGGAGTGTCAAGCCTATCCACATCCCTTATTTCCGAATGTAACCATATGGGATCTACCAGGAATAGGAACACCTGATTTTAGACCAAAGGATTACCTAGAGCAGGTCAATTTTAACCACTATGATTTCTTCATAATTGTCACCTCAGAACGGTTCACTGAGAATGACGTCCTCCTGGCCCGGGAAATTACAAAAATGAAGAAGAAATTTTACTTTGTGCGCTCCAAAATGGATGACAGTATAGCTGCTGAAAGTAGGGATCCAAATTTCAATATGGACAAATCCCTTCAGAAGATACAAAAATATTGCTGTGATAACCTGACTAAGGTAGGAGAATCTAATCCAAGGGTTTTCCTCATCTCCAGGAGAGATCTGAATATGTATGATTTCCCAGATCTGCAAAAAACCATGGAAAATGACCTGGATGATCTCAAGAGACATGCTTTAATTCTGGCTTTGCCAGTTTTTTCAAGAGGAATCCTGGAGAAAAAAAAGGCTGCTATGGAGAGCCTTATATGGAAATTTGCTATTGTATCCTGTGTTATCGGGGTGATTCCTGTCCCAGGACTTTCTTTGGCTTGTGATCTTGGCATCTTGGTGGGTGTGCTGCTCCATTTCTACAAAGTCTTTGGCTTGGATGAAAAGTCCCTCCGCAGAGTTGCACAATTGGTTGGCAAAGATTACCTAGTGCTGAAATCTGCTATCAAAAAGTCTCCAATGTCCAGAGAGATTACACTTGAATTTGTAACTGGCCTCTTGAGCCGGTCATCACTTTGTTTTAGTCTGACAGTAACAGAACTGGTCCTAGATTTCATACCAGTGTTGGGCTCTCTGTTTGGAGGAGTTAGTTCCTTCGTCACCACATTCTTCATGCTGAGGAGCTTCCTGAAGGATATTGTGGAAGATGCGGAGAATGTTCGGGCAAAAGCTACTGAGCCTTGACCATCACAAAGACCCAAGACACCAATTGGGAGAGTCCCAGGTGCAAAATGTGTGGAATCCTGTGCAGGACTAGAACTCAAGCATGAATGAAAAAGGAAATTGGATTCGAATTTCAGATCAGAAGCTTATTTTTCTGTTAACTGACCCCCCCCCGGTATAATTGAACTTTCCTGTATGAAATAACAAAAAAATTATGTCTAGATGGCTCCAGGTTTGAAGCCTCCTTTCCCCATTCCTGCTTGTCCAAAGAGCCTGCCAGGGCCTCTGAAGAACTGCAGGCATGGTGCAATTCAAATCAGAATTTTGTTTTTAAAAAATGCATGCTAGCTAATAGTACGTTCTTGTGACCTTACTTTGTTTGCTTTGCACAACAGCCCTTTGTCTGTGACAAGCCTTTTACCATAGATCATCCATAGCCTGCATGGCTATGACAAATGTAACAAATTTTGGTCTTCTATTCCTTTGATTTCTGTGCCAGTCTTTGCATTACATGAATAAATCTAACTTCTTATTCAAGTAAAGTGAGTGTTCTTCTGATTTCAAAGGAGGGGGTTCAACTTAGGGCCCTCTCATGCCCTACATTAACACCTAGATTCTATCAGCCAAGAAGAGCTTTCAGGCCCTTTAGGGAAGGGGGTGGTTGAAGACTCAAATCTCACAGAGGGGCTTCTCCATTGGATCCCTCCACAGTTAATCTATGCCAGTTGGGCTGTTTTGTAGCTCACTAGGAGGAAGCAGGCTTTGGTTTGGGGCGGATTCAGGGCCAGAGGTAAAGCTGAAGTCCTTAGATACCCGTCAATTCCTGTTTCCCAAATTAATCCATGGCATGCCAGGGAAAGGAGAGGGGTAAAGATTCCTCGAAGAACCCCAGGGACATGACAAATGTTTCCACTAATTCCCACTCTCTTTTTTAAATATCAGCTGTTGGACCAGCTGGAGCAGGGAGAAGGAGTAAACAGGGAGGGCGTTCTGTGGGAAGAGAATTTTGCTGAGGTAAAAGTAAACAAAAGTCCAGTGACGCCTTGAAGACCAGCAACATTTTTTTCCCTGTGAGCTTTTATGAGTCATAACTCAATTCTTCAAAGAGCTATTGGGTGGGATATGATACGGGAAATTGATAGGCAGGTTGGGGGAAGGGGAGGAGTTAAATGCCTGGTGAAAATTACACCTTGCAGGGGAGGACCGGCCACTTAACTTACCGGGAAATTTCCTGGTGGGCCCCTGCCCAGAGGGCCACTGGTTACCAACTATGTGTTGGGAAATACCTGGAGATTTTAGGGGTGGAGCCTGGGGAGGCTAGGGTTTGGGGTGGGGAGGGACTTCAGTGGGGTGTAAGGCCATACAGCCCACCTTCCAAAGGGGGCATTTTTCTCCAAGGGAGACGGGTCTCTGTTGCCTTCAGCAGGGCGCAATGCCATAGAGTCCACCCTTCAAAGCAGCCATTTTCTCCAGGGAAAGTGATCTCTGCCGTCTCAAGATCAGTTGTAAAAGCAGGAGATCTCCAGGTCCCACCTGGAAGTTGACAAGCCTAGTTGCCAGCTCCGAGTTGGGAAATACTTGGAGATTTGGGGGTTGGAGCCTGAGAAGGGCAGGATTTGGGGATACTTCAGTGGGGTATAATGCCATACAGTCTACCCTCCAAGGCATCCATTTTCTCTGGATGAACTGATCCCTGTTGCCCGGAGAACTGTTGTAGTCCCAAGAGATCTCCAGCCACCACCTGGAACGTTTTAGTACAAAAACACAACACTGAGGCTGTAGCACTGTGTAAAAGGTAAAGGTAAAGGTTCCCTTGCTCGAAAGCCAGTCGAATCCGACTCTAGGGTTGCGGTGCTCATCTCTGTTTCAAAGCCGAAGAGCCAGCGCTGTCCGAAGACGTTTCCGTGGTCACGTGGCCGGCACGACTAAACACCAAGGCGCACGGAACGCTGTTCCCTTCTCACCGAAGTGGTCCCTATTTATCTACTTGCAATTTCTTGCTTTCCAACTGCTAGGTTGGCAGGAGCTGGAACTAGAGACGGGAGCTCACTCCGTCATGCGGCACACTCGGGTCTCGAACTGCTGAACTACCGACCTTCCACAGCCTGCAGTTCAGCGTCTTAACCACTTGAGCCACTGCAGCACTGTGTAAAGAAATACAAATGGATCTGTAAAGTCCTAAAGAAAGTCTTACTGAAAATGTGTAGTATAAACAGCTTACATCTGATACATTCATACAAATTCAATATGGTCCACACAGGACTCCTTAGATAAACTGGAATTTAAGTTGGAATTTATTTGTTTATACTACAAATTTTCAGTAAGACTCTCTTTAGGACTTTACAGGTCCATTTGTATTTCTTTACACAGTGCTACAGCCTCAGTGCTGTGTTTTTGTACTAAAACTTGCTTACACCATGTACCATTATATTTATACTAGAAATAAGGCCCGTTGTGGAAATAAATACAACGAGATCTAGAAAGAGGCTCTGGGAGAGTGCTCTGGCTTTGGGCAAACAGTGTCAGCTTCCTGTGCCGACCTCAGCAGGGTATAATGACAGAGTGCACTGTTTTCTCCAGAGGGAGTGATCTGTGCTACCTGAAGAGCATTTGTATTTTTGAGTTATCTGTAGCCCTCACCTGGAGAGTGGTAACAATTGTTACCCAGGCTCCACCCCTCAGATCTCCAGGAATTTCCATAGGTAAAGGTGGCAATGCACCAAACAGAGGGGGACAGAGAGGGGGGGAAGAAGGTAAGAAGGGGGTTGGAGGGAGGGCTGCAGAAGCATATGCCGGCTTGTCTTGGTGTGCAGGCTGGAGAGGGGGGGGGCTTTGAGAGCTTCTACCAGCCATCTCTCTTTGCTGCTGAGAAATGCGGAGTAGGGTCTTGGACAGGTTCTCCGTGGCGTTGGGCTTGCCCCGCGGCAGGAGAAGTGGCGAGTGGATAGAGGGGCTTGGGGGGCGTTGTTTGGAGTGGAGGGCTGGAGG